AATTAAAATGGCACTGTGTTGTGGAGGGTTGCACCCTTGTCTGCTTGTGGACAGGACTCCCTACGAGAGCCTCATAGTTAGCTTCCCACTGGCCAGCGTCCAGTGGGAGGATCGCAGCTACACCCTGACTTTACGGAAATGGAAGACTCCTCCTTAGCTTGCTCCTGCAGCCGTACGGCTGAGGGCAAGTGAAACTTGGGGGCATCCAAACCCGAAGCCTCTGGGCTTGGGCCTGCACATAGGCTGCCTGCCAAAGAATTTGGAAGCATCTGAAGCCCCAGGCAGGGGTGGAGGATGCTTCCCGGTAGGAGGGCCACATATGGTTCTTGAACAACTCATGGATTTGGAATGGATTTGGCTTATTTGACTTGGGACATGACAAATTTTCCTTAACCCCCTACCCTCCAAAAAAACCCCAGCAACACAACAAAACCCCACCAGAACTGAATTGGATCTGCAGGTTCTCCTTCAAGTGTGGCAGCCACACGAGGAGGCAGAAGGAAAAGTGACTGCTCCAGAGATGGCTGCGATCATCATTTGTTTTTATTGAAATCCAGCTGGTTTTGTTGCCCCCCCCGCTGTCTTGTCCTCACTCAATCAATGGTCAAACATCCAGATTTTCTCCTCTGTTTTGAGCTATTGTTCCAGGTGCCACATTTCCCTTTTACTCCATCTCCATACAGCACTGGCTCTGACAGCCCTTTTCCCAATCCATCAGAGTCCTTGTCATGTTTCAGACCTGCTGTTGCAGAACAGACACTAGAAAGTTTTGCACTGTCACCTCCAGGCCGTTACTCCTCACCAATATCATCCACCACAGGGAGACTGTCATAGGATTTGAAGTCAGGGGTGCCCAGAGGTGGGGAGTCGGTATTGCTGAACCCTGAGACTGAGAGATGCTCCAATTGGGGCAGGAAGTCGGATATCCTGGGGCCACTGGGGCACTCTTCTGGCTTGCACATGCTGCAGTCTTGCAAGGAGCAGGGCTTCTCCTGCCAGAACTCACTGGCCTTTGGTTTCACTGTGATGTTTTCAGCCCAAACCACAAAGTACCGGATTCGCGCCTGTTTGTATTGCTCGCACATACAGACCCAGGGCTGCCAGCTGTTCCAGTGGAAGAGCTGATCCCCTGTGGAGAGTCAAATGAAGAAGGTGGCAGTGATGACAGGCTATGGAAGACAGACTTTCAGGGGGCAGCCGCACACTACACTTGGCTGGTGTCTGCTGGAATCAATGGCAAAGCTCTTGCTGACTTCGATGAGGACAAGACCAAGCTTTTGCTCAGATAAGCTGTCATTCCTAAGAATTCAGAGCCAGGCGAGGGAATCAAAAGCTACCTGGCACCACACAAGTTAGCAAATTGGTTCTGGCATGCTGACTGGTACTGCTTGCACTAAAAGCCAATGAGATGGGAAAGGGAGGAACATACCCATTGAAATCTTTGGAGGATTGCTTCTGTCCCCAAAATAGGCAGCAAACCTTTCTTTGACACCTTCCCAGTCTGTGCCATCCCACATCTGGACCAATGTGACCTTTATGGGTATAAGGAAAATTCACTCTCCAGGCCACTCAGCCTTTTGGCCTATCTGCAGAGGCAGCCAACACAAAGTTCCAGCTTGGTGGTCTCAGTGAGATGATCGCTCACCTTGTGCAATCTGGTCCGAGACCCAGGAATCACTTCCTGCAGGTCACCCAATAACCATTGATAGCAATATCTTTTGGTCATGGCCAACATGGGAAAAGTTCAAGCCAGAGATTTAGATGCCAGGTCTTCAAAGTCAGTTATTAATCAATGAGCCATCCAGGCCACCAGTCGATTAACTACCATATTTACTTAAATCCAAGATGATTCTCCCAAATAATTAGATTCTATCCATGGAAAATGTAAAAAAATTGTTAAAAAAATTCTGTGGATAGACTCTAATTATTGGAGGGCTGTCTTTAATTCATCCCTCCCACCACTGCAGAGGCAGACAGTGAGGGGGCAGGTAGTGTCAGGTCAAGCAGCTTGTCTCCTGCTTGTGCCTATCCCCCTGCCACCTCTGCCCCCTCCCAGCTTCAGGTCCCCCCCCCCACTTCCCTCCCAGCCTCCGCTCCATGCAGGCAGGATCCATCCCAGTTCTATCCGGGGGCCCTGAGCATGGGCCCCAGCCCATCTTCTGTGGCAACCCTGTGGGCTGTGCACCACTGCCATGGGGTTGGGCTGGGGCTGTGCTCAATGCCCCAGGCTGCAGAGTTCATGGAGCCTGCGGCACAGAGTAAAGGTAAGAAGGGAAAGGAGAGGAGCAGGTGAGGGAGCAGACTGTGTAGGGCTGAGAGATGGGGAGAGGAGGCTACAGGGGGGATAGGTCACGGTGCAGAGGTGGGGGGATAGGGGGGTGGCAGGCAGCAGCTGCAGCTATTGCCTTGACCATGGATAGGGGCTGGAGTCCAACCACAGCAGCCACCTGCCTCCCCAATGTCCTTGTATGTGATTCTAAGACAGGGGCGGAGAGAAACGGAGGAAAATACCTAGTCTTAGAATCAAGTATGTACAGTAGATGCTAAAGAGAGAACAAAATATCTTCTGCTTGGGTTTGGCCAAAATCATAAGCTCTGTTGGGGGAGGGACCCAATTTTAGGTGTCGTGCAGACCTAGAACCAAGAAGAGCTCCTAGACAATGCACATAAACAGCAATTACCTACAGTCCACCGTACACTGGCGCCCCTAGCGCTCCCCAGCAGACAAAGCTCTGAGCTCAGAAAGAGCAGCATGATCAAATTCCTTCTCGTTACTGGGTGGGAATGGGACAAAGGCTTCGGTTGCACCACTGAATCCTCGATGCCCATAGCCCACCTGGAATGGATAGACTCTTAATAGGGGATGTTTACGTGTTCCCATAGCAACTGCTCCAAAGACTATTTAACAGCTCTTATTCCATGGAACACATGTAACTTTGGGTGCCAACTGGTTTTCATTCACAGATGTTGAGATCATTGGGCCCAAGCCCCACTGCACTCAGACAGGAAAGACTCAAGCAAGACCTGGCTGTTTTCAGGCCTGGGAAGAGGCTGAGTGTGAACTGGAAATTAGATTCCCCTTCCATGGCTTCCAGTGAAGAACGCCCCTCATTTCTTTCAGTTTACTCACTGGCTGACACACAGCAGGAGAAACTTCAAGAGAACTGTACCCCAGGGAAGTTTTGGTCTCCCAGGGTCTATGTGTACATAAAGACAGTCTAGTGCAGAGGAACGTGTGCAGTCCTGAGAGTCAGAACACCTGGGCCAAAATGCTGCTTCCATCATTGATTCGCTGCATGGCCTCCAATAAGGCACCTAACTTTCCAGTGCTCCAGATTGTCAGGTGTAAACAGGGATAGCCTATGTGGCTGGGGCAGGATGGTCTAAAAAGCATGCATTATTCCAAGGGGAAACTGTGAAGGGGTTTATGGCTTGAAGGCCCAGAGGCGACACTAGTGATGGCAGAAAGGCTGTCTGGAGTCCTGCCTTGTTAAACTGCTATGACAAAACATTATTGCTGCTTTTGTTGTTAATTTGACTAATTCTCTCTCTCTCTCTCATATTTGAATTTTCTCAGCTTCAAAAAATGAGGAGAATTTTGCAAACTCCATAAGCTCTGCACCATAATTGCTGGCTTTTTTTCCTGCAAGCCATTAAAGTCAAGAAAATGAGACTGACCAGTTGCAGTCCTTTTCACTTTCCATTTTTCAGGTAGCAGCTCAGTGTAACCATGTCCTAGCTTCCAACAACAGAGGAAAGTTTAAATTAAAAAACATAAAACAAAAAACCCTCTAACTCCCATCAAAAAACCCTTTGACTTATTAAAATACTTCCATTTATAACCTTGTAAAATTAAACTTTTAATTGATTAAGCTTTGTTTTAAAAAGTCAAGTTGTACCAGTGCCTAAAGAAGTTCAGTAACAATGATAGACAAGGGGTCAAATTTATACCTGGTATAAGCCCAAAGCAGTCAATGCTGTTAAGATCTCAGGGATATCTTGAGTCCAAGGTTTCTGAATCCACCTATTAGCCGAGAAGGTTGGTCTACATTACTGAACCCCCAGAAGAGGGATCCATTGTCCAGGCTTTAGGCAAAAAAAATATAAAACTACTACTCTTATTTTCAGAAAGGAGAATAAATCCTGCCACCTAATACACCTCACACAAGCTTCAATGTCTTCATCCTGATGCAATTAAAAAAACACCCCAAACAAACAACAACCATGAGTCAGTTGTCAAGATGCCGTCCTTCCAGCTTTATAAAGCAGAGGTAAACACAACTTTAGGACACTGCCAATCATCTTGTGGCTTGATGAAACATAAAAGGTGGGTTTCTGCTTGTTTCAGGTCCAGATTAAATATGGCCCATCACCGTTCTCCATCCAAAGATAATGGAGCAAAAGAAAACTGGATTTTTTTTTATTTCATCAGGTTACTTATTTAATGCAACAATGAGGTTTCAAAATCCCCGAAAGCAGGGACTTCTTTGTATAGCTCCCATTGTGCTGTACAGGCCAAAGTCCAACTCCTTGTCCTAGAGTGCAAAGAGTCTGTATTAAAATCTTGATTGGCTTTTAAGAGAAAAACTCTTAAACTCTTGGTACGTGCCTATTTTAGCACACCCTATGGCTGATCTAATATGGAAACAGGACCAGTCATCTTGTTTTCTTAAACTTAACAGATGCCTCTTAAGAGAAGGAATGACTGTGACTGACCACATACACTCATTCCACACCACTGCATGGGGAAGCGCACACATGCAGTCTTTGAGCCAGGCCAACTCAAGACAACTCCTGCCATAATTGTGGCTCTCAATTCCACTGCATGCCTTTTGTGAGTGCCTTTGCCAGTAACGGACACTTGAAATCCATTTCTCTAAAGATTCCTTTGTAGGCAAACCCAATCCTTTCCACCCCCTCTCATTATCCTAGGTGTCCCAAGACTAACTGGGTCAGCAGCTTACATGATCGAGACTGTAGTATTTTAATTAGAAACTGTGCCGTAGAGTGGTTTGTCTTGATCCCTCTGCTGAGAAGCACTGTTAAATTTGAAAAAGGCTGAGCGGGACAGATGCAGCAGATGGTCTGTCTTAGTTCCTCCTGACACTCTGGATGCCAAGTTCTAGAATCCAAAGAGAACTGATTAATTAAACAAAGTGAAAGAAACACTCCCCAACTTGTCAAAGAGCCTTTCCATAGGCTTGTGGATCAGTGCTCTCCCAGTGCCACTGACCACTTTACTTTCACACTGCACTGCTGTAATCCAGCATTGTTTCCCTGAAGGATGTAGGGTTCACTCAACCCCAATGCTTCCCCAATTCATGCTTAGTATGGAGGAAAGAAGAAAACAGCACCTAGTGTGCTCTGGGCCTCTTGCTCAGCAGTCTTCTACACGAGTTTGTAGCTAGTCCTTACCAGACGGGAATGGGTCAGTGGGCTTCTCTTCCAGTGAAGTCCGCAGGTCCAAACTGCTCATTGTGGGGCTGCCAAAGGGGATGACATTTTCCCAGCCAACAAGGCAGTGCTGTGGGGAGAGAAGAGAGGCCTGGGTGAGAGCCCCCTTTGTGCACCACAACCTGGTCTTTCCAAACACCACCTTTCCCAACAGGTGGTGGGGAGGGGCAGGAACCTTGTACTTATTCATTTTAGGAACCTTACATGGCTGAAGCAAGAACAACGAGAAGATCTCCAAGGCCTCATAGCTTGCGGCCAGACTTGTCATCACACTCCATGAGGCCGAACTATCCTCTTGCTCAGCCCCAAGCCCCCTTTGCTGGTTTCCAGTCATCCCCAAATCCATTTCTCTGCTTGCTTCCTGCCCTGGGTGAACATGGTACCTCTCTGACCTCATCCCTATAGGCTCAGCTCGCTCAGGCTCCATTTTGGCTCCTGTCCATCTCTTCACAGCAACTCTCCTGTATATTCAATCACGCTACCCTGAGCATTGCTTGCTGGGTACAGCATTGCATGGAGACTTGGGAGGCAGGGCTTCTGATCCTAGCTCTGACACCAACTCACTGGGTGATCACGACCAGTTCACTATACTACTCTGCCTCAATTTCCCCAGGCATAACTTGCCGTAATACTCCCCCTCCCTCAGAGAGGAGGATACAAAACACTCCAAGACCCTCAGGAGGTAAGCCACTGAAAGGGCAGGTGTCCATCTGTCTGTCCCCCTGGGATGCTCTAAATGGCTGAGTCACTATATCCCTTTCAATATTACTTCAATACTTGCTTTCTTTGCTCTGGGGTGGCAGGCCATACTAAACCCCACTTGCCTGCCTGCCCCCATTTGCTGCAGCTGTGCATTTGGCCCTCACTGCATTTAATCCACAAAACGGACCCTTTGTGTCCTTAAAGCTCGTTAGCTGCAGCTTAGGGAACTTCCTCTGTTCCACCTCACTTAGTCTTTGCCCTCTCTGCCTGCAGGACGGTTGTCATACCATGCTCCATAAGTTCTTCCCTTTACTTCAGTGTAAAGCATTTGCAGACATTGGCTTCAGAAGCTACCTTGCATTCCAGCCAGGCCAGAGCCAAGTGGGCAAGGAAACTTGGCTTTTCCTGTCTGTCACAGAGACAGGGGCTGAAGATCAAGCTTCCCAACAGGGTGGGGGTATTTGGCTCTGCTGTCTGTGGAGGTCCCGGCAATAAAATGCCATATGATGCTAAGGCTCTTGGCATCTTATGTTCCTTGTGTGCAGCTGTTGACAACCTACCTAATAGTGGTAAAGCCACTAGAGCAGTGGTCAAAGGGGCAGGTGGAAGGACTTACCGAGGGTAAAGCCAGGTTGTCTGCTGCCTCAAAGCTCTTCCTGCGGTGGATTTTGTATTTGTGGGCTGGCAGGAGGGTGGCCCTGGGAATGCTGACCCTGCAACCAACCAGAACCAGTTACAGCCTGCCCTCCCCAGGAGAGATCTGAGCCGAGGGATGTGAACCCCCTGTGATCTTCCTACCACCCTCAGAGGCTTTGAGCCTGACCGAGAGCCCACCAAAGTCAACAGGCCTTGATTAAGGTGTAGAGAGACTGCCATGGAAACCCAGAAACTGCAGATCAGCCCTGAGGTCAGACTGCATTTGCCGCTGTCTTCAGGGGGAGTGTGTCCTGCTCAAGATAAGGCTCATTGTGCCTCTGCTCCAAAAAATCAAGCTCTCTCCCCCGACAGTGGAGCCACAAAAGAGGCATCTTAAAGGGGCCCCTCCCCACAACTTTCCTCTCATTTTTCCTCCCTGGATATTTTCCAGTGACATGTGTTGCAGCCCACCTGTACACACCTGATGAAGGCAGGTTCCTCCAGCGTCTCTGGGGGCCGTTGGGCTCTTGGGGTCTTACATATGGGGCAGGCAGATGCCGAGTCCACAGGGACAGGAAAGAGGCGCTTGTTCAGCCGGTAGCAGTAGATACCTGCCATGCAGAGAAGGGAACTTGGCTGCGTGTGTAGCTTCCAGTGTGTTCTCAAACCCAGCACCCGCCCACTGAGACCAACCCACCTGGGTTCCCAAAGCACCTCTTATATGGTAATATCACCCTTCCAAGTACTTTCCCCAGCGCCATAAAGATTAAATGCAGCTTCCTCAATTTCAGACACCACAAGGCAGGTCAGTTATGGGAAACTTTGGGGACATGGAGAGAGTCTGCCTGAAGGCAAATGAATAAAGGACCCAAGTCTCTCAGGAGTAGAAAGCTGCAGCTGCAGAGTAGATGTTGTGGTTAGACTGTGAACTGTTCCTGTGCCTTGTCTAAGAGGCCTGGGGCTCTCCCAGGAAGATAGCTGAGCCCACAGCTGCCTGTTCATACACACAGGGTGAGGAGATGCATCTCAGCTTACATTGATGGGAAGTGGGAACCAAGTCCACGTCTTGTTCAGGAGCCAAGTAATCCAGGGACTCTGGCCTAAACAAGCAAAGAATCAGTCAAGAGAAGTGGGTCCCAGAGAGCTGGGATTGCAATAGCACTGGGAGGCACTGTGTGGTCTAGTCATCACTTCAAACATGGGAGAATCTGGTATGGATTTAGTGAACAATTTATTTATTTTATATGCAAACCAAGAAACAAGAGCTTTTCTCAAAACAAACATCCAGCTGTGGGCAGAGGAATGTGTTTGCTGATAAGGACTTCTGTGAAACAGCTCTGAAGTCCACTGCAATCACTTCCAGACATCCTAGCTTTCTGGGCTGTGCACATAAAAAGTGCTATATTGGTCCCTGTCCACAATACCTCCAGAGAGGGAGTCTGCACTCCACAATCTGCAGATGGGTTGGATAAAGCCACAAGACTTCCAACCAACAGCACCTAATGGGGTTGTTTTCTAAGCCCACCAGGGTTTCATCTGCCCTCTCTCTCAGGGATGTATGGATTAATACCTCCCAGCCAGCCACCTTGTCTCCTGCTCCAGAGAGGAGGTACCAGACACTCTCTCCATTGTTCACTGCCACTCTGTTCCCAGACTTACTCGAGGCATTGCTCATATACACATGCTTCCTTGTTCACCAGCCGGAACTCCTTGAGCTCAGCAAAGTACTGCTCAGACTTCTCCGACACTGAAGAATCTGTCTCCAGCAGCCCTGGAAAACCAAGGAGAGAAGAACAATCCACAGTTGGACTAGATGGGGGCAGGCAGGTGATCAAATAAACCTCATGCAAAGTGGACAGAGAAGCAGGCCCTGAGTGCCCAAAGAGGAAGGTGATCCAGGTGGCACAGCGCCTTGCCTTGCCTCGCCACTGACGTAGAACAGCCAGAGACTTCACCCGAGACAGCAAGCCCAGAAATTACCCAACTTCCTAATTTGGTTCATGCATCATCTGCAGGTTTTTGCCTATCGTGGCTTCACTGCACCCTGCCAGCAGCCACACAGACTCTGCACTGCCCTTCTGGAAAAGCCGCTGGCTGGATAAGCTACAATGCTGAGATTAGCTGCCAGCCCCCAGAGATTTTGGCAGTGCTGGGGACCAGTATGTGCATCACCAGAGCTTTCTCTGCCCCTGCCCCAAAGTCACTGCACTAATTGCACTCTAAGCCTGCATTTCGCCATAGGTTATAAAGAGCCCAATCAGGCTGACAATAAAACAGGTGTGCCATGGGCTTTGTACTCACCTGCAATCCAGTCATAGCCCAGGAGAGGCCGCACTGACCAGCTCTCTTCAGGGATGGTGTATTCCTCAAGGTTGTCCTGAAACGTCACGTGCCCTGCTTCCTTCTGAGTGGAAAAAAAAATTAAGCTCACCACAGACCTCTAATAAAACCGGAACATTGTGCTTCTCTGACCTGGGGTGTTTGAGCCTTATTTGCCAGCTGTATAAATGGGGCAGCTGTGGTCCAATGGCAAGAGCTAAGAGATCTGGGCTCCACTGACTTATTCATGTGCTGCTCTGTGCCTGTTCCTCCATGTGTAAGATGGAGGTAGCAGTTATGTGACTTGCCTGAGGCTACGTAGCAAGTTAATGTCAGAGGTGCCATTAGAATGCAAAGGTTCCCAACTTGCAGTTCTGCGCTGACACCATTAGACCAGGTTGCCCCGACTGCGTGTCACTGCTCAAGGAAGAGCCAGTTGACTGTGCTGCCATGCACCCGACCAGGGGGATGGTAGCCAAGAGGGCTGCAATAGGACAGGGAAAGTGTGGAGAGGTCATGGCCTGGGCCTAAGACTCCTTGGTTGGTTTTGCACTGCCTGTTGAACTACAGGCAGCCAGGCCTGTGCTCCACCTCTCCCCAAGTCTGTGCTGCTCAACTCAGCAGGTGGCTTAGGTTTTACCTTGGCCTCTCTACACTGAGGCATCAGCAGGATGGACTTAGGGCGCCTGGGCTCCCTAACAAGCACCGGATGCTCGCCATTCTCCTCTGCTTGTGTCTGGTTCAGCACTGGCTCCAGCTTGGTCCCCACCCTGCCTTTCTCCTGAGGGCTGCGCAGGGTGACGAACCGCTCGCTGCTCTCTCTCTGTCCCGGAAGCAGGGACTCTCCTTCTGGGCTTCTGCTGTCTCCAGCTGCTCTGGAGGCACCCCTGGCACATCTGGTGCCGACAGCTGCCGGCGTGCAACTTCTTTCTGCCCCGAGTGAGTCCCCCTCTGCCGCTGCCGCTCTCTGGATGCTTGTCCTGGGCCGCGACGCCCCTCTGCCCTCCCTGCCCCGCACAGTGGGCTTCGCGGGCGAGCAGAGCGCCGCCCGCGCCGCACTGGGGCTGGGTGCCACCGACACCAGCGTCTCGGGCTCAGACGTACCCTCCGTCACCAGGCCTCGATTTTCTTTCTGTAACGAGCACGGAGACCAGCTACGGCAGGGCACCAGAGACCCTGGCCCGCTCTGCAAAAACGGTGGCACCAGAGAGACTGGTCCTCTTCTACCCTTTCTACTCACCCCCTGCCAGCCCCACGCGCTAGGGATCCCTGGAGGAACTCAGGGACAGAAAGGGAAATACCGAGTGGGCGCCCAAGGCGCTGCCTCCAGCCTCTCTCCTCACGCAGGTGGCGGAGGAAGACGTTGCTGCTGCCTCCCCTGGAGGAACCCAGCCCCTGCTCGAGGGAGGGATGCGGGATGCGGGATGCAGGCCACGACGTGGTGCCCCCCTCGGGGCCTTTAAGAGGCGGCTAGACAGGCACCTGGCGGGGGCGAGGGGGTGTCGCTGCCCAGGCAGAGGTCGGGCTGGCCCCTCCCGACCCAAACACCTACGATCCCATGAACCGCGCCCCCTTTTGCGGCTGTTGCCCCGAGACACCCCGCGCCTCTCCCGACATCGGCAGCTCCGCGTACCCCG